ATGTTGGGGGGTCGTGAGGATTTCGATAGGTATCTGAGAGCCCGCTGAGCGCACTGGAGGTTCGTGAGTCGTGGAGGTTCAGGGGTTCGTAGTGTGTTGTTGGTAGTCAATATGTGAGAATGCACGTCTAGGACAGTACAGGTTGATAGATTAAATTGACTACGAGGAGCGAAAGAGGTCCCAGGACCTGAAGCTATTTGAAGTTGAGCTCGTCGCCTCGTGGCTCACGTGACTAAAACCACATTCACTATACACAAATCAAAATCGTCACAGTATCTTGTTAGCTCTCGTATTATGATATTGTGTGATGGCACGTTCTCTCGTCCGATCCATCTTACCTTAGAGGAAAACGCCCATGTTTACAACTGTTATGATTATAACGGTTGCATACTGTCGGTTCACCCAGTACTCGTACAGAGTGGTCATAAGGGGTTGAAGTAATCAGTCCTTATTCGGTGGTGTCTAATTGCTTAAGGAGGAAGGCAGCTAGCTAGACTACAAACGCTTATATGCCAGTGCCAGGTCATGTGAGTAAACAACGTGTGGATGTTGCGACATATAGATTAAGACGGTACTAATACGGCTGTAAAAAAGATTCCAGCTGTTGTAACTTCCCACAGCGGTATTAATATAGAGAGGGCCAAGGAGGACGTTCCTTCCCTCTTTTATAATGTATTTATGTACATTTGAAGCCTTCGCATGGAGTTTGCGAAATTTCTGGAGTTGACTTGAGATAAGGAGAGAAGGAACGATGAAGCAAAGGTCTTATATTTGACAATGAGAAACGAGAAAAATTAAAACTCGAACCGTATTGAACAAGTTGCCTGACAAGGTATCGTTGTCTATCCTCTCTCTTCCTCCCTGGCGTTTCTGGTCACCCTAAGCGTTGTTCTTTTCGCTCTCGTACGTCAAACTTCAAGAATCTCATACATGAACGGTTGGACTTGCTACGAGTCAATTTATACGGCCCTGGAAATATGGTGTCCTTATGAACCCACTGCAACCCCTTTCCAAAACACTGTCATTGGCAATCTCGCTTACATCCAATAAGCGATTCTTCAAATACCGCAAATGTCTTGCCGGCAGACTCGATATAATAGTGGTCATCGCGAGCGGCCAAGCCAACAAGAAAGCCGTCGTGGCTTTTACCGAAATCTCTGGAGTAGGCCTCTGAGTGGCTGTAGTCTCATGGATATCAATCAGTTTCAGCATAGATGGAATGCTTGCACACATGTCATCTGTCAAGAACTGAATCACAGATTTGATGTTCGCTTGATCTATGGCGAGCTCGAAAGACCAACGGGTTGACGAGATAGTTTTGAGTATGATGTCGTTGACTGTCAAACGTAGAGCTCGGTAGCGATTCCAGATTGCGGCGTGCGCTACTGTTTGGTAGATATGAACGGTTTTGTCGAATATTATTTCGTCTGTTTGGGCGTATTCGCTATCTTGTAGAGTACGGCTGCTGTACGAGTATTCTATAGGCAAGTTTTCTGCCCATATCATCAAAGCAAAGTCCAAGTTTTGAGCACTTTCCAAAAGCCCACGTAGCCTCACTGGTTCGCTTCCACTTCCAGGTTTCGACAGTTCCTAGAAATATTGGGTGCTGGACTGATGTCTCAGCTCGGCTGCTTCCACCATACACTTATCCAAGGCAAGTGCGACCCCCGACTCCCCATATTCTTCCCCATCCCGAAGCTAGGATGGTACGGGCAGGCTCCTCAAAAGCAAAGATCGTATCAATTGACGCCGAACTAACTTATCCACGTCAGAACTGGGTTTCGTGCAATTATCTGGCCGTCTCCGCAATTTCAGTACTGCCATTGCCCCATCGTGATGGGCAAAACTTCGAGCGCCTGTTACTTGAATGCCTCCGCTCGAGGCGGCTTGAGAGTTCTTATCCACAACGCAATTTTCGTAGAAGCTTAACAGCATGATTGCTACAATAACGTCGTCATGCTTTGCTTCGGTTGCATTCGTCAATGCTAGGTCATATTTAACAGAGCCTTTGAGTACTTCGTACTTGCCACGGCCAAAGCATCGTGGCGTTTCCGAGCTCGACTAAATGTGGCGTGTGATACGGCCGATATTGCTAAACTGAGAATTGACTCAGGCTGGGAATAACACACGGTTGGTGTGATGTACTTCAAGTGGCTTTCCGCAATTTCAGGCAGATATTCAGGTGCTTCGACCCAGAAATTTGAATAGTAAGTAAGGACTTGATCATCCAGAGAATCGTGTAAAGTTGGCGAAATTGTAGGGCTCTGTCGTTTTCTAGCTTGTATTAAAGCATAATATGGGGTATTGGAGAGTTCTTGCCGCTCTGTGGAGGTGGAGTTGGAGGGTGTGTTCACATTGGGCCCTCGTGGACGTTTCCTTTCACCGACAGCATATTCATTCTCGCTCAAGAATATATACTTGCTGTCTTCTTCTGGCGTTCGGCAAAAGATCTTAGCCTTCTGGCGTCGGTTGCAAGTCGGACGAGTTTCATCACACTGTTCTTTTGTTAGCAGAGTCTTTGAAGCTATGCTTGTGTCTTGAGGCCCTCACTTTGACTCGACGTTGCTTGCACGTACGACAAGCTTTGCTTGGAAAGGTCATAATTTCTGGCACAATGAGTGAACTACAGCACCTGAGAGTTGGTGACAATCTGGTGTGCCTTTCAGAAGTTATGTTGCTTCTTCGGATTTAAGGTAATAAGCATCCGGGAGTGGAACCCTTATCTCCAAACCATCCCAAAAAACGCATCACTAATTTTAATGTAATGTCTCATATATTGTTTCTATGCGAATCCTTTTGATATATCAAATTGACTGGAGATCCCTAGGAAGCTCTAGCTGTGTCCGATTATAGCTTTCGCAACGTAAGGTTCCTCCAAGTATTTTACCTCCTCACTCAATTCCAAGCCCCGCAAAGAACACGCCTCATCAAGCCTTTCGATGCTGGAATTATTCAAACCAACAATTGGGATACAGCCCTTTCCTCTCAGCCAGGTTAGTGCCACCTGGCTCATTTTCCATCCCTTTTTTTCCGCGACCTTCTGAACTCGGTCACGAATAGCATCATCAGCATCCGTGGCACCACCTGCCATCGCAGCAACCGCTTGCGACCGTCCCGTCTCAACACCACGGGGCTTCGACAACGAGCCCGAATTCAACGGCGACCAAGGAATCAACCCCACACCAGTCTCCTTACAGAACCTATTCATCTCCCTCTCTTCCTCACGGTAGCAGAGGTTGTACCGATTCTGCATACTAATGAACTTTGTCCAGCCGTTCTTCTCGGCGATGAATTGCATGCGTGCGAATTGGTAGGTCCACATGGAACTCGCGCCGATGTAGTTGATTTTCCCGGATTGGACAAGGTCGTGGAGAGCCTTCATGGTTTCTTCGGGGGAAACGGTGTCATCGTACCTGTGGATTTGGAGGAGGTCGATGTAATCTGTTCCCAGACGCTTGAGTGAGGCGTCGACGGCTCTGAAAAGTGCTCCTCGTGACAGCCCTGAATTAAACATGATCAGCTAATAACACTTATGAAAAGCGGATTTCTGTACCTACCGCCTTGGGTGACATAGTCTTTACTCTTGTGCAATTGGGGCTCAAACATCCAATAAAAAATATCTGGCGTCTTAGGCACTGTCCCCATACACTTCGCCAGAATAGTAATCTCATGTCTAGGAATATCAAATTTCTTGATAGCCTTTCCAATAATCTCCTCGTTGACACCGCTGGAGTAAACATTTGCAGTATCCCACGTAGTAAGGCCTAATTTGTAATTAGCTTGATATACCAAGCATACACTCAAAGTCACTTCACCTCTATCATAAGCGGCTTTCAATAGTTCCAATCCTTCATCCTCTTCCATGATCCATGGCATCCACTCTTTACTTCCAATACCCATCGTTCCAAATATTGGAACGGAGACTCGAAGGCCCGAGGAGCCGAGTTGCACATAGTCGACTTTGGTAGCATCGAGGCTACCCTGAAGCGAGTTGGGAACAGACAAGGGTGGCATTCTGATGATACTTGTTTCTGAGGAATCTACCAAGAATAGAGAACAAAACTTGAAAGTCAAGGTGATTGATTAAATTGGAAATGTTGGAACGGACAAGGTGTCACTATTTATATAATTATTTTCCAAAAGTTCCTTTGGCAATAACGGAGTTAATAATTGATTCATCCCCTACCAAGATCTCCGCATACAATTGGCCTCGTGAGTATTTCCTAATTCGTATAAACATAGCGATCTAAATAAGTCTCAGCCAGGTAACTGATCCTCGCAGGTGGCAAACTATTCACGTGACCGTTCTCCCTTTTTGGCGATACTCGCGTACGGAGGTATAACCCCGCAAAGTCCGCAAACACCACTTTCCGAGAACGGACATACCATAGAACCTACCCCATCACCCTTACCGTGAGACTAGACCTTCTTGATATGAACAGGAAAGATACAGCTTCATTACACACTATCCTAGAGGTTAACGTTCGCCACGGATTTGCTGTACACACAGGAATACGCTACCCCTGTAGAAGCACGGGTTTGGATATATCACGTAAACGACTTCGAAGTCTATATATGCTATACTGAATTCTCAAAAAAACACTTCAATCACACCTAAATTTAGAAGTTTTAGGGATCAGTATCTTACTAACTCTCTTAGGAGCTTGATTTCTCCAAATACTTTTATCTTTTCTACCTACTGTTCCCCTCGGTAAGTCTCTCTCTCTAGGTGAATACGCGTAGTAGAAATTATAGTATAGACATACAGAGAAATAAAAACCCACAAATCCAGCTTTAGATAAATAGTAATAAAGTAGTTAAATAGATAGTGTTTAGCTAGTTATTAATAGTAGGAGGGAGTCTATTACTAGATATTCTTTAGGACATTTTTAACCCTGTTAATAGACTCTCACCTTTTATAAAAAGAAACCCCTGTATACTATACTTACTCTATATAGTTAAAGGGGTAATTATAGTATAGCTTATTCTTTTGTAGGGCGTGAGTCTATCACTAATAGACCAATACCGATGCCCTGCATGGTACTGAATCCCATGTTAAGCCACCATATCCTCCACTATGTATTTCAACACTCTGAAGATTTCCAGACTATACATTAAACATATATTCGAAGAAAAGCTGTTTCACTGAAAGATTTCCCAACTCAATTCGATATGGTCAATTCTGACAGTCAGACCTACTGCAACACCTACAGTAAATTGAACTCTGAAGAATCTCCCCTTAATCCCTCTCAACCTAAATGAGCTCACCAGGGGTCGTCAGAATTCTGGGCGCAGCGTCGGATTTTGGCCGAAAAAAAAACACACTAAAACACCCTACTTTACTAAATTATAATAAAATAAAGGGCAATCTTAATAGCTTGTAACTAAAGTCTATAGTAGAGACGTATAATCGCTATAACTTGTACAATTTAGAATCTTAATAAAAGTAAGTTAACTCAAGTACTATAAGACTAATAAATTTACTAGGGAATTTAGTAGGAGGAAACTCTCTACTAGAATATCTCTTAACATATTAGGTTTTGAAGAAAGTTTTCGTATATACACTTTATCTTTATACTCTAAAGAGTTCATATATAAGATATTATATATAGTTCTAATACGAATTCGTAGAGTTATAGGGTTGTGAAGACGCAGTTTTTGGTGTGTTTTCGGCCAAAATCCGACGCTGCGCCCAGAATTCTGACGACCCCTGGTGAGCTGTAAGATCTTACTAGCCGTGGAACAGGGTTGAACCAAGCAGCTTCCTCCCCTGAGTACTTGCATCCTTTCCCTTGATATTCTCTACGTACTATTCCATAAAATTTGTGAGTATATGCCTGTGATCCGTTCCCCACCCTCGCTCCGAGTCTCCTAGTACCCGTACACGCCTCCATCCCCCAAAGATACTGCTAATACTGTAATTATCATTAAGCAAACAAAACCTTGCCGAAAGAAGGGGAGCGACTTTGAATACTCCCAATGTGGTAGCTGTCTATTACAACTCGAAAAGCTCGAAAAGAATTATCGTAGAAGGAGGCTGAGAGTACTACCGGATAACAGTGTTGGGGCATAAGATCAAGATGCCAAAAACAAATCTTTTTAGGCGGTATTGCTCATCCCCATTGAACATATGCGTGCTCCCCGAATAAAACTTTGAGGCCCAATAATAGCTAAAACACAGAGATCAAGCGATGAGTGATCACTGTCTACACCCAAGTCCCTTGCCAAAATGCTGTTGACATATGATGTATTGGAAAGCTAAGCGAGATTTCCAATAAAGTAAGAGACGAGGTCATTGCTCTGGACGTCCCGAGTTAAGATACCATTATCCTAAAAGCCGCACGTAATAATTCGGTTATATGATGCTTTGAAATAATCAGTATATTATACTCGATATCGACTTCATGTAAATAAGTCAGGTAAATTACCTCTTGACGCTAGGGTTTTCATGTAATGGCTGTATATGGTATAATCTTACGCAGAGTGAGGGCAGCGCATCTCACCTTCTATTAGACAACCATAGATTTAGTTGATTTTGTTGGTTTTTATAGCTGAATCATCAAATTTCTTTTGATTTCTGATAAAAGTAAGTGATATTTGTAAGTACTGTAAGACTTTGAATGTTTAAATATTATCACGAACACTACGTCGTCAGTTATCCCTCATTCCCTCATCCCAGCTTTACTTCCCACCCCTCCCTCCATTTCTCGCTCCCATTTGACATGCCACAAACCGCAGAATTTCTTTGCCTCTGATTATTGTGCCTCGTTTTAATGGTGCTTCCCATTCAATAAAGTAAAGGAGAGAGAAAAGGGAGGAAGTAATGAAGCTAATGTAACAAGGCTCCAGGGCTGCAATAGAAGAGAACTGGGCTCTAGACACTCCGAAACAATAATGCTGAGATTGACGGCCTGAAAGTCGAAAATCAAAACAGGCAAGAGTTACGACCGAAGTGTTTTTCAATATTTCATACAATTAGGACGCGCATGCATCCCCGCAAAATACCCCAGACAAGATAAAGTAAAAAACTCAAACCCCACAGCCGAGCCATAGCTTTAAGCATAAGTACAAGTACCCGACTCAAAAAGAACCAAGAACTCGAACTTTAGAGTATCCCACCTTAACGAGAATGTCTCGGATACTGACTACCTGTATCGGTAGTAGAGTAGGAACCGACACATTATCCTCATCCACCCTGATCTCCAGTTCTTGAAAGCAAAGAAATAGTAGGTAAGCTACAGTAGGTATTCATGGAAAGCCCCTGGGGCAAATCAGCTACTCGTATCCTTTCTCCAGTCTTTCCATCTACATTACTGTAGCTCCAAGATCTCCCCCATTTCTCAAGTACTCGTAAAATAACCCCTACCGACCAACTTTCCATCCCAGCACGAACTATACCTCTCCTAAACCTCGGGACAGCAATTCCCCGCCCTCACATCCCCATCTCCATCCAAGCTCGCAACCCTCACCCGCCTTCACCGTCCCAAGACCATGCCGTCCGTCCACTTCTTCATCACCAGCAAGTTAACCACCGCGCCGCCCCCGGATCGGCCCAACCCCAAATGATCTCCAGACCATTCAAGATCCCCTTTCAACACCGGGACCCATAAAAATGCAGCAAGTCCAAGAAACCGGATTTCTCCAGGGGTCCTCACCGTCCACCGATTGTTCGTGAGGGGTGCAGTGCAGTGTAGAGAATAGCGATAGAAGGAATTATTAGGCGTGCCAACCATGTTACGGCCCAACCCAGCCGATGTGAGAAAGCCGTCAGGCTTTGCGTAGGTGCTGTAAACGCCAGAGCACTTTGATTATATGCTTCAAGACATGTCTTCAGACGATGGTAAACAATCCGACTAACAGTACATATACTAAATACACTTTCGCTATACTACTCAACCCTCCTAACCAAATAGCAGAAATATCCAAGTACCTCCTCCAACCAACCAACCATTCATTCCAAAGAAACCCCCTCCCACCCAGGACCCGACTCTCCCACCCCTGTCAAGAACCCCAGAGCCTCCCCACGCACCCAACAAAGCGCCTCTACTTCAACGCGGGGAAGACAGACCTCCATCCCCCATATTTGCGGGGAAAACATGGCAGAAAAACACGACGGCGATCCACCTTGAGCCATCAGATGACTTTTCTAGCTTGCTTACCTAGCTACAGAGATGGAATATCTACGGGTTTACTGTTGTTGAAAGCCAAAGAAGGACAGGAATGCAAAGGGATTTAGAGGGAGACTTGCCGAGTTTGAGATTCGTTGTTTGGGGGGACGGTATGGAAGCTTGTGGTGGAGATCTGGGGAAGATGAGGGTAAGAACGTTTACGGTGTTTACTTGTGTAATAGCAAGTCTGGCTGGGTTGATGGTACGTTAGTAGAGTAACTTTTGAGTCAGAGACCTTGTAATGTTTTTCGTCTCTTGAGTAAGAGTTCTAAGTGATGGAAAATGAAGAAAGGGCAAGTATTATTGACTCTGTGGTGCAACTACACACTCCAACCCCTCCTTAAGTACTGTACCAACAACAATTTCAAGTTTCCCATTCGCCAATTCCCTCTACCCAAGTCCTTCACAACCATACACTCCCCTCCCTCCTCACCCCTCACCAACAAAATTCTCCTCCTTCTCCTCGATCGCACAGGACCAAGGCTAGCACCACAGAACACTAAATCCATAGATCCCCATAAAGAATACAACTGTCGGCCCTTCTCCGCACGGCACGAGATGTCAGGCATGCCCGCCACGCCTTCCACGCACAGCAGCCTCGGGAGAAGAGGCCCTCGACCAAGGAAATAGTGGAACACGGTGTGAAAAAAAAAGAAACGGAGATCAATATTTCCATCTGGGGTTCGTCCCCAGAAACCCCACCGGGTCCCTGTTGACTACCCCAGAGCCAGGGTCCAAGATCCACAGCAGGCATGAGTGGCAGACAAAGAATCAGTTGAGACTCCGTAAGTGATCACTTGCTCTCTCTCATGTCAGCTAGCTATGACGATGTCTTCCTGCTTGGCCCTGGTGAGAGGAGTGTACATAAGTGGCTGGGTGATCATCTTCCCTTTTCTCTTTTTTGTTGGAAGTCATCCCTTTCCTCTCCTCTTTCTCGACAATTGACAAGAATGGTTTCTCCCAACCTCCAGAAATGGCTTCAGGCTTCCCTATTTTCGGCCCTGCTGCTAGGGGAGAATGTAGTGGGGGATGTGATAACTGACGATACGTTCTTTTATGGACAGTCTCCTCCTGTGTATCCTTCTCGTAAGTTTCTTTCTAGATATCCTACAGTAGCTGCAATGCTCTTACTTTTCCACAACTCACTTCATGTCTCGAACCATCCATCTAACTCTTCCTCCCAGCTTCCATGCCTGGCTCCTCCTCCTGGTCCGATGCCTACTCCAGAGCAACTGCCCTCGTAGCCCAGATGACACCAGAAGAACGTGCCAACATAACTGTAGGACACACACCTACAACTGGCTGCGGAGGAGAAACCGGATCCGTTCCTCGTCTCAACTTCCCTGGTCTGTGTCTCTCAGATGCCGGAAACGGACTGAGAAACACGGATTTTGTGAACGGTTGGTCGGGAGGTCTGCACGTTGGGGCAACCTGGAACCGAAATCTGAGTTATGAACGGGCGTTACATATGGGTGGAGAGTTCCGAAGGAAGGGAGTTAATGTGATGTTGGGACCTGTTGTGGGACCTGTTGGACGAGTGGCTGAAGGAGGAAGAAATTGGGAGGGATTCAGTAGTGATCGTGAGTTTATAACTTTTGGCAGACATTAATATGTGAGAGAGACTAACGAGAACAGCTTATCTCTGTGGTCAACTCGCTTACGAAACCGTCCTTGGAGTCCAGGATGCTAGCGTAACAGCTGTTGTGAAGCACTTCATCGGAAACGAGCAAGAACTCCACAGAACAGCAAACGAAGTGAACACCAGTCTCTCATCCAACATCGACGACAAGACGATGCACGAGCTGTATCTATGGCCCTTCCAAGATACCGTGAAAGCTGGAGCGGCTGGAATGATGTGCAGTTACAACCGACTGAACAACTCATATGGATGTCAGAATAGTCATGTTATTAACGGGCTTTTGAAAACTGAACTTGGATTCGAAGGTTTCTTGGTTTCGGATTGGGGTGCGCAACGTAAGTGGACCTCCTTACAAAAGGTGGAAGATGACCCTTTTGCTGACTTATGACAGACTCTGGAGTTGCATCTGCTCAGGCTGGAATGGATCTCGTTATGCCAAATTCAGATGAATTCTGGGGCCCTAATGGTGAAAACCTAGTGACTGCTGTCAACAATGGAAGCATGGAAGATACGAGATTGTCCGATATGGCCATCCGTATTGTTGCGTCGTGGTACCAATTGGGTCAAGATAATGTGAGTAACATTTGAACCGCTGAAGAACCAGGAACTAACAATATACCAGGCAAGCTATCCTGAAAAGGGAATCGGACTACCAAAAGATCTTCTCCAGCCTCACGTTATTGTCGATGCTCGTGATCCAGCTTCCAAGTCTGTCATTCTGAATAGTGCTTTGGAAGGACACGTTCTTGTGAAGAATGTCAACAATGCCCTGCCACTAAACAAGCCCAAGTTGTTGTCAGTCTTTGGATATGATGCGGCTACTCCACCAACCATTAACCCATCTGGAGGATCTCAAGCCGATAAGTTTGCCTTCGGATATGACTCGATCGTAAGAAGTCCTGAACCCTTCCTGTCGTTGATTTCTAACAAAAGACAGCACAATTATCCTGGATTTTTATTGCCGGGCTTTGAGACCCCACCGGCCATTTCTATCAATGGTACACTTACCACCGGAGGTGGAAGTGGTGCAAACGCCAACTCATACGTCTCAGCACCATTAGATTCGATAATTCATCAAGCATACGAAGATGGTACACAAGTGATGTACGATACTATGTCTGGAAACCCTTTTGTTGCTGCAGAGTCAGACGCTTGTCTCGTATTCATCAACGCTTTCGCTACCGAGGGTGGTGACAGACCAAAGCTTTATGGTAAACAGCCCAGAACCCTGTAAAGTAAATAAAGACTAACGCTTTCCAGATGACTACTCGGACGCCCTTGTGATCAACGTTGCTGAAAAGTGCAATAACACTATGGTTATTATTCACAACGCAGGCATTCGCCTTGTTGATGTTTGGGCTGACCATCCCAACGTTACCGCTATCATGTACGCTCATCTTCCAGGACAAGACTCCGGAAGAGCCGTAACTCAACTTCTTTACGGCATGGTGTCTCCATCTGGAAAGCTTCCATATACCGTCGCAACGAACGAGACAGACTATAATGTTCAAAGTCCCGAGGCAGAATACGGCGATTATGTCCACTTCCCACAGAGCAACTTCAGTGAAGGTGTATACATTGATTACAAGGACTTCGACCAGAAGAACATCGCACCAAGATATGAATTTGGGTTTGGCTTGAGTTACACAGCCTTTGAGTTCTCTGATCTGAAAATTGAGTCTGTCGGTGAGAACCACCCATATCTTCCTCCCAATGTTGAGGTGCTCGAGGGTGGGATGAAGAGCATTTGGGACATCGTTGCCAAAGTCTCGGCTGTTGTCCACAACACCGGCCGTGTCGACGCAATGGAAGTGGCTCAGTTGTACGTTGGAGTCCCCGGAGGCCCATCCAAGCAACTGAGGGGGTTCAACAAAGTTGCCATTCCCGCGGGACACAGCGTGGCTGTGGACTTTGAACTGACACGACGAGATCTGTCAGAGTGGGGGGTGAATGAGCAGAGTTGGGTTCTGCAAGAGGGGAGTTATAAGGTTTTCGTGGGATCGAGCAGCAGGAATTTGCCGCTGACTGGGAGTTTGGATCTTTGATGATATTTGGTATGAGTGATGAACAAAGTACGGTAATGTTTTATTGTGGTAGTAATAGTGATAACGAATAATGCATGAACGATCAAACAAGCAGAGATGTTCTGGAAGCGTTCTATTGATGCCCAAACATCGAGCATCCTGGAGCCTTCTCATCTACTTCCTTCACTGAAGGCATAGGCCATGTGCTTGTCACTCCAGGAAATGCAAATCCCCCACCCCACGGGTTTGGAAGAGTAGAAGCGAACCTGATCTCAGGGCAAACAACCAAAACAGCCCCAACCAGCTCAATGATACCATTTCTGTTATCTCCGATTAAGTCCGACGTACGGAGTACAGAGGGCTGAAATGGACGATTGAAGAAAGCACAACACCACTCATCAGTTCCCCAGGACACGCGTTTCAGACGAGTCGTCGAGGTGTGTAGGCACCGTAGGGCATCCTGACGCTTGGCGCAAGGCCGTGGACATGAATCATTGGACTGGAAGTCATGGCATAAGGTTTGTGGGAGCGCAGGGCAGCGAATGGGAAATCAAGACAAAGAAGAGATGATGGATTCTTGTCGCAATGAGGCTGTGCTGCACTTGCTCCATTTGCACCTGGCGATTCTTGGCCTCCACAAGAGACGAAGAGGGGATGACGAGTCCATGGCTGTGATGTGTAATCGCGCCACACTCATTTCGGTGAGGACTTTGTAGAAGTCGTAGAAGAACATGGACGTCCTCGAAGCATCACCTGCAGCAGTGCATTCCAACAATACTACAGTACAAGGAAAAGCGAAGATATACTTTTGCGGCAAACACCGCGGATTGCGGAGAAGGACGAGGTTTGCGGCCAGAACATTACTGAAGGAACGGAACGGAGCACTACCCCAAGGTAGGGCGGTTACGAGTGGTCCAAAAATATCTCTGACAGAAGCCTATCGTATCGTGCTGGCACTGCTGTATCACCTGCAGTGCCTACTCGTACTTCTACAAAGTACAGTGCCTAAACCCCCCAACTGGACCCTGAGGCCTAGGCGAGGCAGCCGCTGTTTGACCCCTTCGAGACCCACCTGCCCGCACCAAAGCAACCTTGAACGCCAACCAGCGCAGCGTTGACCCTCAATACGACGATACTCGAGTACTTCCATTGGGAACACCCACGCCCACGCCTGCAACCTTCACCGCGCCCGCATCAAAGCATCCACCATAGCAACAAACAACAGTCGGCTCTTGCTGTCACTACAACGGTCACTGCAACACCTCCCAACACCACCGCGCCACCATGAAGGCCATGAAGAGCATGAACGTCAACCGAATGCTGGGTTCCCTGAAGCGCAAACGTAGCCATCCCCCTCCCTCCACTACCGAGGTTCCCCCCCAGATCTGTGCCAAAGCTGACCATGAACTGCAGCCAGGGAAACGGTATCGCCAGCTGAAGTCGAAGAAGAAGTAATTGATCCTCAAGCCGACACCCCCGAAGCAAGCGCGGTTCGAAATGTGGTAAGTGGCATTGCTGAAGTGAGGGGATACACGGTTGGATACTGATTGGCGCCCAGCGGAAATTCTGCGAATCCGGAGGACCAAATGGTTCGGTAAGTAGCATGAACATTTTGGGTACGGGCAATGGGCAGACTAACAGCGAGTAGGGAGAAGAAGTATTGTTTCTGCCAGCTATCGTCGAAGCATGCGAATCTTCCCCATCCGCCGCAAAGGCATCCGCCTACGCCATCCGGAAATACCTCTCCAAGGACAATTTTGCAAAACCATATATTCAATACAATGCCATCATGCTGATCAGAATCTTGGCTGACAACCCGGGCAAAACTTTCACGAGGAATATGGATTCGAAATTTGTACAGACAGTAAAGGAATTGCTGAGAATGGGACGGGATCCTAGTGTAAGGCAGATACTGATGGAGACGTTGGATACATTTCAAAGAAAAAAGGCGGATGACGAGGGATGCGCCATGTTGAACGAGATGTGGAAGAGGGAACAAGAGAAAATGGTTAAGCTAGCTGTATGGTGCTTATTCAAAAATTGCCGGACTTCTGCTAACCAATACTATTTTAGGGCCCAGCAGGACCTCGTACGTTGAACGCCCCACCACATGACAACAGCCAAAACTACTTTGCTCGAAATCACCACAGCAAACGTTTACCTGCTCCGCATGAGCTCTCTTCCCGAATTGAAGAAGCCCGAACTTCCGCCCAACTGCTTTCCCAAACCGTTCAAAGCACGCCCCCTTCCGAATTCCTCCAGAATGAGCTCGTTCGCGAGTTCGCAGACCGGTGCCAGAGCGCAAGCCGGAGCGTTCAAGCGTACATGGTCGCCGAGAACCCAGCACCAGATAACCAAACGATGTTGACATTAATTGAAACGAATGAACAATTAAACAAAGCCATGAACCAACACCAAAGAGCCGTTCTTGCGGCACGACAAGCTGCCGGAATTGGAAGCCAGTCCAACACCCCACCACCGCGAACTGACTCGGGATTCGCGCCGCCACCAGGACCACCACCAAATCGAGCAACCAGCAAATCGTCTAAATATACACCACCAGTCCCACCTCCTGGGGATTTCGCACCAACAGGCTTAGATGAAGACCCCTTTGCGGATCCCAAAGAGTCCAAATCCAAATCCAAATCCAGGAGTCCACCGTTTCCAAAAGACCAACCTCAACAAGCTACGGGTCAGTTCAACGACAATCATGGTGTTGAACCCTACCACCCAGGTTTCCGAGAAACTGAAAGCTATCCTGCGAGGCAGGACAGCTCGGTAGGAAGTGCAACGATGTCTGCGGCTGGTGGGGAAGCGAGAAATGCGGGGTTGGAAGATAGCTATGGGGTTCCGCCGCCGAAGAATAAGACTCCTGTTTATAAGTACTAGATGACGGGAAATACATGTCTTGCAATGGCTTGTTAAGACTGGATGGGGAGGAACTAGGATGGGAGAGGACGGTGATTTCATGCGAGCATTTTGATGACCCCTTTTGTTGTTTTCCATGACTGAGCGAATTAAGTTGGCTTTTTTGGCGGTTACAGCAGCACATCATATCACATTTTACATTTCCTTCTGACGACTTTTAGAATGAGGTAGGCGGTGAGGGGTTCTTCCTCGATCTAGTCTTGAAATCTCGTTTTTTTGATACCAATTTATTTGATGAACTTCTAGGAAGAATTGTGGTCTTGATTGTGTATAGTGATGGTGTGCTTTGGATTCGTGCTTGAAGGGAAATATGTCGGGATTTGTATTCTGGGTTCCTATCTAGGCGGTCTGTAGGCGGTTTGTACTGGTGGGTGGTAAGTTGGAAATCGATAGGCTCTCTATTTACGTCTTGGGATATAGGGATTGTGTTGATTCTTTTTGGTGGGGGGGAGGGGGTTGACTTATGTAAGGGGTCTTCTTCTGTATTGCTTTGTTGATGCAGCTCGAACTTCTCTGTTGTTTGTTAAGGTTGATCTCGAGCTGCTCCTTGTCCCGCCACGCTGAGATCTGGGAGATACCCATCTTCATCTTCCTTGGGTAACTCGTCGTGTATGAAATCATCCGCCAATTTTAGTCCACTACATATTATCATTACTACACGCAATAAACCACACCGACTCATTCAAAGGTTATATATAATATAAGCATCAGAATCCAGGTCAATTGCCTCACTTCTACCTTTCGCCGACAAGGGCGGGCGTACTTACCTACCTGCCCAGCCCCTCACCCGAACCCGCAGAAAAGATGCCAGGCCTAATTATTCAACAGACTCTTCTCGGCGAGTGCTGCTCACTCAAGTCTTCCATCGTATCTACACTTTTTCCGCGACGTCTTTATCTTCGCCTATATATGTCTCATGGCACTTGATTGCCTGCTTCGTTTAGCGAGACTGGGCGACGGATCGCAAGGGAATTGTGGGGAAGAGGATGGAGAGATTGCATATCTTCGTAGATGCGTTGCTGCGCTTTACGCTGGACTTGGTATTCGTTTGAAAAAGTTCTTTACTCGTCATTAACTTGACGATGCTTTATAAAGACATAAGCAAGCGGTTTCGGGGGGGCGGGGGGCGTTAGTGGACGAGGATATTACAAACCTCCATATCAACCCTGATATTTTGCGAAAACAGAATCCACTCACGCGGCTTGTCCAAGGATGTCTCGATACTACACATCGGATTCTGGCAGTTTCTCTGGCCCTACGAATGGATTATACGATCGATGTTTAGGACTTATTTCTCGATGGCTGTATGTACCTTCACAGCGGTATACCTAAGCCTTCTAGACATCTCTTATTCACTTACATCTATATAAATATTCACTAGAAACGGAATTCCATAGAAGTCCTGGAATTCCGGAGACTAAGCAAGGGAATAGAACAGTCCCATTATGAAGGTACTCTGGAAGGATTCCAATCGGAATAAAATAGAAGAATTCTATCGAATATGCTTCCATGTGCCGAACGTTGAGTACGAAGTAGGCATGGACATGATCCGAATCCTCGTCATCCATCCCAGCAGAAACTACAGGTCCAAGATGATATGTACCCTCTACCACGTACCCATCGAAGAAAAATGTGATATCTACTACGACGCTCTTTTCTATTGCTGGGGCTCCCAATCCACCTCCCGCGATATCGAAACCGACAATGCGAATTTCCCCATCACGCCGAATCTCCATTCCGCACTTCGACGGTTGCGGTATGGGGATGTTCCCAGAAGTTCTGGGTGGATGCGATTTGTATCAATCAGGGGAGTGACGAGGAAGCGATCCACGAACGGAATTATCAGGTCGGTATTATGAGGAAGTTCTACCGTTGCTGTGATAGTGTAAGGGGTTGGATAGGTGAAGAGGCGGATGAAAGTGATGTAGCTTTGAACCCCATCTCACAGCTTTCTGAAGCGTATGATGAACAAAGTACTGCCACAAACAAGCAGGATGCCGAGTATGGAAATCGAGATTTGGGTTCCGGAGTGCTATCAATGTATGATCGTGCGTATACTTCACTGGTCCATCTTATGCTAAGGGTGTACTTCCAACGCGTTCGGATTATACAAGAAGTAGCATTAGCATCAGAAGCCTTCATTTTATGTGGCTCTTCCTTGACCGAACCTACTTGGAAGGAACTGGAAAACGCCTTCAATTTCGCTACGCAAATGAGTGCACTCAGTATCTACCGACAATTGCTGCCTCAGAATTTCATAGCGTTACAGACGTCTCGCCAAGCCATAGATAGTAACGATAGTAGCAACCGGAAACTCTCTTTCCTCCTTTCTCGACATTGTCCTTCGATGGCGACGAATTCCCAAGACAAGATTTATGCCCTCTTAGGTTTGTGCGAGGAGAGGGAGTTAAGCGAGCTGGGTCTGGATGTGGATTACAACTTACCAATTAAAGACCTATTTCTAATCACGATGAAGAAAATCCTGGAGAAAGACAAGAATCTGGATCTCCTGAGTGCCACGATGATATCCGATTCGTACCCGCTAGAGCTGGCAAATCTCCCCTCCTGGATTCCTGATTAGACGCTTGCCGACCCCCCTCGTGCTATCTGATCTAACGGTCTTGAAACCCCCGAGAAATGTCTTGTTGTTCGATAGAAAGGGGAGTGTCTCTATACGAATATTAAGTGAATACTCGGTATAAGTCATAGCACGTGCAAGCTGGCCTTAGGGCTAGTAAGGGCGCTAGTACCTTAGCACTGCTATATCCCTTCCAGACTCGAGAGTGCAGGGTGCGGTCGTGCGTTCCTGGTAGAGTAAAGTTATCCACTTTCCAAGCACTTTACGCGTGTGCACATACTGCTAATGCTGATCACAAATACGCATAGTACTAGTAATAGTGTATATATAGCCATCTAGAGACGATTTTGTAAAGGAAAATGGAAGTAATGATTTCAATAGAATCTCTAGACATTTCTCTCTATTTATACGCGTCGCTATACGATTTATTATAGTGACTGGTATTCATCTTTATTACCGTGTTCTTACGTGTTCAGGTTTGAATCTATATAAAGCCACTTTCCAAGGTTTTAAGCCTCAATTTGACCCATATATTATATCCACAAGTACGCACGACCGCAACCGGCACTCTCGAGTCTGGAAGGGTTATATAGCGAGCACCTATAACCTTTACTCGGTGTATACATCTGATAGTTGAATACGATACTATTCTATTTGCATTAACACTTTGTCTGAACTCTCTATTAGAGTTAAACCAACAGGGAGAACTCTTTAATTTGTAAAAGTTACAGGTAGGTATTAAATACCCTAGAATGACGCTAGTGCTTGTATGTAGTGAGTAATTATCAAATATGTCCAACATGTCTCTTTCAAGCAACACCTGCTCACGCATACGAGCTTAAAATCGAGGACGACGATTCGCTGATTGTGATGGGCCAGCTCATCGATCAGATTTCAGAGGTAGGAATGGTCTACTCCGGATACACCACCTCAACGCCCTACCCGCTAAATATACTCTCCTACTCCCCCCTCTTCTGCACGAAATCCGCATCCTAAGTACCTAGTAAACCATCACCTCCACCCATCCTCACCCACAACAAAGCCCCCTCACAAACAAGCCCATCCTTAAAATCTCCCCACCCCTCACCAGCAGTCTCCAACCCAAACCCTCTCCATCAAAACCACATATACATAACGACATACAAATCAAATAACGACATACAAATCTCCATCCATTTCTACAACTCCCTCCAAACCCTCCACCTCGACGCTTTCGAACCCACATACCGCCTCTCCATCGCTCTCCTACTCCTCTGCATGGCTCTCCTGGGGGTCACACCAAAAAGCGGAATCTGGGTGATGATGATTTTTTGAGGACTTTTTGCAGGGCCTTTCGAACAAGGAGTGGATATGTGGGTGGGGTTGGGTTGTGAGGGTCAGGGGGGCGAGGGTGCCGGTTGTGTTAAAGGGGAGGGTGGGTGTCGGGGTTGGGGGTGAGAAAGGGGTTTCGGGAGGAGGAGTGTGTGGGGATGAGGGTTTGTTGAGGGGTTTGGGGTGGGTAGCTTTTGTGGGTGGGAGGGATTGTGGGATTCTTAAGTTGTGGTGGATGAGATGGCTGGTTTTTTTGCGCCGTGTTTAGGTGATCTCTATATACTGTATGTATGCTTAGGTTTTTGTACTTTCCACTGTACACTTACGAAACCCTGCGCTTTCTCGGTACTGTATCTACAAGAGGTAATGTAATGTTTCTGGAATTCGTGGAACACTCCACGTTGTTATTTCAAACGCTTATATGTACTATAGGTTGTCTAAACGTTAGTTGATTTTCTTATCCTGAGCTCCTTACATCATTAAATAAGCTGCCCTCTAGGAACTTGGGGACAGACAGTATCCATTCCCAACTAATTAAGCACTAAAAAGCAGAGATACCAATCTTATACTTTGACCTCCTCTTCGAGTCCTCGCTAAGCGAATTCAAAGGGTTTTGAAAGGAGGGATACTACTATAGTATTATGCTTTTTCCCTAGGATATTTGGGATTGAGAATGTTGGCTCTTATTACCTAGATAACTACATTTTCTACTGTAAGAGTTAACACACTCCTTTGATTTTGTTGGTTTGACTCTAAGTTGATAGAGCCGAAAAGATGATAAGGAAAGTATAATACAAGGCTGATAGTTTAGTATTAAATATATCGTATTATAAAGACTATTAGTTATATATACTAAGTAAAGGTGTTATAAGTACTACTACTATTATATAGTAGTACTTAGTACTAAGTATAGTACGTAAGTAGCCTTAAGTAGTATTTACTTATACTAATACTAGGCTAACTTTAAAAGACGAAGAAAGCTATACTCGATAATATACTAGCTAAATAACTAGCTATTCCTAGTTCCTTAAATAATATAAAATAAAACTCTATTTTATATAAAAGAAAATCTCTAATATCTTTCTAAAGAACTTATTTAATATCCTCCTTCCCTATTCTAATGTCACGAATCACGTGTTACCACGGGAGATAGTGAAGACCAGGCGGCGCCCTGACAGGTCGAGCATTATCATAACTCTTATAGCAGAAGGGGATCCTTAGGCTAGCTAAGCGATCCATGGATTTCGTCGGATTAAAGTACCACGTGACCATGATCGCTTCAGTCGCCTGAGTCGCCTGTCGACTGAAGCGACTGAGGCGAGCGACTAAAGCGATTAGACAGAGAACGAAGGTTCTATATAAGACTGGCACGTCTGCCATTTAGATAGGAGCTTCGTGCTCAACTTAGTTATCAATCTTATCATATTAGTTTGACATCTTTGATACAAGTAACGAGTTCACTTCCAAGTGAACAACCCGATAGT